AGGCAACTGTTTTTTTAAAATTCTATACTAAAATTATTTTTAAAGAATAATGAAAATCCCAGCAAAACATTAAAGTTGTATTATCCATATGAGCAACATTTTTGCTTCCAGACTTTCTTGTTGCTCAGCCTTTTTAGAAGACAATATTCTCTGTTCCTGATATTTCTCAGCAACATTTATGACTGTGATGTCACACACTAACCTCTACTTCACAGCAAGATCAAGCACAGCAAGCAGATGGGATACCAAAAAACAAAAAAAGAACACCCATTTAAAATACAAATCTCTTTTATAAAGAAGAAAAGAGTGCAGGCACAGACAATGAATGGGTTACATGTTTAAGTATGATATATTCAAACTCTTACCCTAGCATGAAAATCCATTTAAAGCTAAAGCTGGATAACTGATGAATGAATGCGTGCATGTTATATTGGACTCATAAATATAAGTGAAATATTTTTAAAAAGGAAAGAGAGACATCCAATTCTAAAAGAGCCTAAAATCAGCCACAGGAATAAAGAGCATTAGCACCTTTCAAAACAATAGGAAACATCAGTCTATATGTTTAATAAGATTTTTAAATGAGGTTCATGGAGCCAAAAGGACAAATTCCTCACAATTACCCATCAGTCAGGCCTTTATTACAGTTAATGACCAAAATTCCACCCAAAAAGTAGAAACTGAACTTACAAAATAAACAGTAACTTTCATTACAGTGGTAATAATTTATTGTTTTATACACAATAAAAGAAAATTTGGTCATATTCAAAGAGATTCAATCATATTGGTCCTCTAACAATAGTATATAAAATATATTCAACTGATCCAGGCATTTAGTTAGTATGAAAACATAAAACATACACATTGTATGATATTGGGCCAATTACTTTTTATCAACCAGGATTGAGGGACCTAAGCCTATAACATTAAAAAAAAGGCTATTTCTCTCAGAATGAAAATATACATAACCACATGCTGGTTTCCATTCTAATCATACTAGTTTCATGACAAAGGACCACATTAGGCACACTTCACACCCCTGGAAAAATAACCTTAGAAATTAGAATTCTGCCTAATCGAGCAAAAGAGCTATATGGGTGTGAACACCAAGTAAGAGTAGTGCACAAATATTTGCTGCAAATAGTCAGTATAAATCTTGCCCCTTTCGAATAATAGAAAGATTGCAGAGCTATTGTCAATTTGGGGGCATTTTGCCTAATATAAGCCTAATGGGCCCTACACTCATCAGAGAAGTGAACCCTACCCCCAATTTTTAACTGACTGTTCATTTAACTTCCAAGAATCAGATCTAAGGCCTTTGGCAAATACCAAAATCTTACTTTTGGAATAATTTATCTTAGTTCCTTCCTTACAATGTCCAATTCCACAGTTACCACACACAGATATAACTTATTTCCTATACGACAATAAGAGCTCTATAAGTAGAATTATTTTTTGTGAGTCATTTCCCATGTTGCTCAGCCTAAAATTTCATTAGTGGCTCAATCACCAATCATAAAATATCAGAGGATAAGAACCTGGAACTAGATTAGTCCACTAATAACACGTTCCTCCAATCCAAAAGAGTAGTTTCAAGCTTATTACACTACATAGACAAAATGAAAAGGTACGACTATTTAAACCTTAATTTCACTAGATTTAAATTTTCCATTTGATACATAACAGTGACCAGATTTATCTCATTCTTTTCATTATCTTTTTTTTTTTTAAAAAAATTATAGTCAGGAGTTGTATGTCCCCGAGAGTACGTGTGTCCCTGAGTGCCTATGGTACTTGTTTCCAGTTTATGAAAGGCGGCCAATTAAATTATCAGACAAGGTGGGAGGGTCAGTTGACCCACTTGCATTTTGAAAGTATTTCATAAAGATTCCCTCAACATGATAGCCATCAGGAGAGAGGCTGACCAGTCACAAAATGACTATCATTTTAGCCTGTCACAAAAAACATTTACCAGAAACCATGCTAAATATGTTCTCCACTATACCCTCTAGTCTCTCAAGATATTCCTCACAACCTTCCAGGTTCTCTTTATGTCTTTCTGGCAATGTGAACCAACTTCCAAGCAATGATCTAGTTTGTATTATGTTTATTTTTGAAGAAAGTCTGTGGAAACTATTTGAAGCGTTGTTTTAAAAACACATTTTCAATTTTGTTGTAGAAAAATATTTTGGGTGAAAAAAGCCCTTGATTTATAAAAAATATTTGGCTCTAATATACTTTCCATTTAGAACCACTGTTTAGAAGAATTTTCATAATAAATGGACTCGTATGTCCTAACTTGATAATATATTGTCAAACTGGGAATGCCCTAGCCTTTCTGTTACTGAGGTAGATTTTAAAAAACCCTTTTACATATTCTTAAATGGTTTGCCTGGCTTTTACTTCAATTTTTTTTACCAATGTCTTAAAAACTGTCCTGGAATTTCCCACGGGAAGCATTGATATGGAAAGTTCACATGCAAAGATTTTCCTATTTGTATTTTTCAAGAGGATACATATTTGGAATACTGTGCTTTTAACAAGTGGTGCTTATTTTTCCATTTGCCTGTTAAAAGTTGTCCTCGATTTACAACCACAATTGGGATGCCTACAAACTTGGCAATCTTTGTTGCCATTTGTTAAGCAAATATTACCCAGCATTAGCCAAGGCCCCGCTCATTCTAAACCAGCGGTTGCCAACCGGTGGGCCATGGCCCACTGGTGAGCCATGAAAAAATTTTGGTGGGCTGCAGAGAAATCTCACCCCTCAGAGCACCCCCACAAAGCAATTAATCCAGGCTGCGCAGAAACACAAGGCTGTGCCGCCCACATGGCTTGTGGGAACCCTCCCCACCCACTCACTCCTTACCTGGTAAACTTGCCTGCTAAATTGCTATTTTTCCTTTTTCCAATCATCATCTGGTCTGCTGTGCCGGGAGATTTAGATTAGCTAGGGAGCAGGAAATGGTTGGATTTCTTGCTTTCTAACTAGCCTTTAGATCTTTAGCTCAGCACAGCCGAACCTCCCTTAGGACTGAAGGTTTGCTTGCAAGCAAATTCAGTGCAGACTCACAGCAAGCAAATTTGTGAGACTGAGCTAGCCGATGGCAGATAGATAGATCACTGATTCTGTGAGCAACTCAATCCGCCTGCTTTGCCTTATTTTGGGTAAAAGTTGCTCTTTTTTATAAAAAAATTAATATTTACATGCATGGTATGTTGTGAGTTAATTTTGTGAGTTTGCTTGCTAGCAAATTTTGTGACAGACTATGAGCTAGCCAATGGCAGATAGATAGATCTCTGAATGAATCTGTGATTCTGTGAGCAACTCAATCTACCTACTTTGCCTGATTTTGGGTAAAAGTTGCTTTTTTATAAAAAAAAATTCAATATTTATATAAATATTTATAATATTTACATCCAAGCCATGCCCAGCCAGTCACATGACCACCAAGCCACACCCACAAATTAGGCCACGCCCACAGAACCGGTTAGTGGTCCCCGGGATCTAAAATTATGAGTTTGGTGGTCCCTGAGGTCCAAAAGGTTTGCGACCCCGTTCTAAACCACTGTATACCTAAGCCCTCCCAGCCCCTCAGTAAGACCTTCAACTCCCCTCACCCACCCATTTCCTCCCCATCTCTGACTTTTTTGGAAGCCCTGAACCTTGCCTTGTAAGGTGGGAAGCAGCCCTCACCATCCTGCACTCTGATACCCCTGCTGACCTGTATTTTGCCATCCCAGCTCATCTTCATCATCATGTTTTTGCTCCCACTGTAGATGAGGCATGCCCAGCCTAGATTCTGAGTTAGCAGAAAGAGTCTAGCCTTCAGAAGGATCGTGTTAGGAAGGCTTGAAAGCTATCAGATACAATTGTTCTTGCCATGGTTTGGAAGGCCCCTTCTCCAAATAATGCAATTGCGAGAATGAGAACCACTTAAAGAATGGCGCACAGTAACCATGACAGAAAGCTCTGCCTCACATCAGCTCTGTACGCCTGTCAGCAACTACAGAACAATGCAAAAATAAGTGGACCTAGACATAATGGGAGAGAGAGAAGGGAGCAGGGAGCAGGCAAAAGCCGCCAAGGTTGAGACAACTTTGCACACACAGGTGGGGTGGCTAAGATGGGAGTACATATAGGTGAGCGGGGGAACTCTACGTCTAGTTGTAAGGGCAGGTTGACTACTAAGCCCCTAGATTTTGACCACATGACAGCGAGGGTGCTACAGCATCCATAACTTCGGGGAAGGGGTCATAACTTTCTTTTTCAACATCATCATAATCTTGTACAGATCCTGAACAAATGGTATAAGTCAGGGACTACCTGCAAAAACCATGAACACTTGAATTTAGCTAATTCATAGTCTCTACAATGCATCTAAACTGGGTATTCTTTCCAAATCCAACTTTAAAAATTAAAGATTAAACCAATACAAAAGCTTACTTGGGAAGACATCTTGAAAAAAATAAATATTTTTTCAAGATGTCTTTCCAAGTAAGCTTTTATTTATTTTAGTTTGTATTTGAGCAGGATTATCATATCTAAGTAGATAAAGCATAATGTTGTTACTATCCATGAATCTCTCCTTCCTAACATGACCATTATCCACTTGCTATTAAAACAGTAATGGTTTAAAATGATTTAAACTAGCAGCACAAATGCATATGTGTACATAGCCAAAGAGGGTTCCTTCTTAAGCATCATAATTATATGTACTGCTAAAACACAACTTACGGAATCCATTATAACGTGCAAATTGAAGCACACATTCAAAGCAAACTGTATGTATCTAATTAAATATTATTGTTGTTGCTACAGCTAATAATAGTATATAAAACATATGTAATGCAGAAAGCTATAATAATTATATTGTTCTATTACTAAAAATAACCATAATAAAAAGCAATTAAGCACATTTCCTAACTACATTAAAAATATATGTTATTATATTTTGCACAATTAATTTATATTCAGAATATAAAGGCATGTGCATTACCTTCATTTTCAGAAGCCTGGCGTTTTACTTGTATCACCAAATCAAAGGTAGTCTCTGGATTTTCTCTGGAAGTAAAAACAAAATATCTGATTAGTCATGAATTGGTCACAAACATTTAAATAGTCTAATCACAGGAATGCTATGTTTGTTATAACATTAAACTACATAATAGTATTGACTCATAATTACTTGTCTCTTAGAATACACAATGATTATTTACCAACCATTCTTGACACATATAGTATTGCATTACAATGCAAGCTCAACAAATATTATTTAAGCTTGATTGTTGAAATTCTTTAGATTATGTAATGGTTATTCCACCTCTAGTACACAAATTCTCAGCACTGAAAGACTGAGAATGACAAAGAGAATCCAGCCAGAATAAACAGAAGTGGGAATTGACACTGCAAGTGAAGAGTTAAGCTACAACTTGCTGAAAGTTAGAAATAACATTTGTTTTACATCTTTAGGAAAATAACTGTTTCCCCTTATATCATTAGGGATTAAAATAAGCAGTATAAAATAGATGATAAATGACCACAGCATAAATACTCAAAGTACACATGTATGTAAACTATTAATATTATATCCTTTATAATTCTATACATTAGCCAGTTCTTCTTTCAACATCTACTTCAAATTCTGCATCTGTAACAGCTGTAACAAATGATTCTATCATTTTACAGTGAGTGAATGGACAAGTGATTACCTTTCACCATGGAATTTCATTGTGATTCTTGCAACACTTCCAATCTTGTCCTATGTAACGTCATGCAATTTATGGTATACACATTATTCCCCCCAACTCCTATACATATTATAGTCCTCTATAGATTTTCAAAGCAACTGCTGTTGCAGTTCTAATGTTTATTCATTTCTTACTGACCATATAGAATATAAAATACAATCTCAAAGATATTGTTACATATAAATGAAATAAACTGAATTTGATAAAGACTTTTTACTCAGTACACACCATTTTTTAAGTGACACTTTATGGCTTAAGGAAAAATTACCCTCACTTGTACATTACAGAAACTATCTTATGGCCCAGCATGGATTTTTGTTTTACAATCAACTCTAATGGAATTTTGCTAATATTAGTTTTCCCTGAATCACGTTTCCCAGTTGTACTGGAATTAAACTTCTAGAATTTCCACTCAAATAGTTTATTTGCAAAATACTAAAAAGTGCTAGAATGGAAATGAATAATCTTAAGACAGAACAACCGAGAAGCAATAAGCAAACTGTAACTTCCTCTTCAGTAATTGAGCTTGCAAATATTAGTGTTTCATGCTGATGAATATGTAAGCATTCCCACCCCAATCTCTAATAAAGAAGTCACTCTCTGCTTGGTTAGGTAATTATTTCATCACAAGAATGAATAAATATGTAAATAGAAGGCCAGAAGTAGCAGATATTAAATAGTAACTGGAACTGAATGTGCTACATACAAGAAAGTTAAACTACATAGTTGTTTAAGGAATCATAAACTTACGTTATGTGTTGTGGAACACAAATTCAATGTATTAAAATAGTCGTGAAATTATTATCACTTTACCAAAATTACATTCATGGGGCTTCTACCCTTAAAAATAATCTATTTTCAATTTCTGAATAAGATGTTATGCTTCTTTACACAATGTAAATACTATGCTTGCTCAATCAGAAATTAGTCCTTCTGTGAGGCTAACTTATTCCTTAGTAACTGTATACAAGATTGCAACTATAATAGGATTTGCAACTGAGCTCTCTCTTGCAATGGTTTGTGTAGTTAAGTCTGCTAACTCAAGAAGTACCCACAATGACTGAAAAGAAAACTTCTATGATAACAAGTTCTCCAACTATAACCACAACTTCTTTAGAAACTAGATAAAACATCTCATACGTCAATTTCTGTTTTCTGTATAACTGCTTCTAGGCTTCCACAAAAAGTCCTTTCAAATTTTGTCACTTTGCACCATAAAGTATCAAACCAGTTCAATATGTGTTGGGAAAGGGCTGGCTCACCATGAACAGATCATTGTCAGTTTGCAAAACTATTAAAACTAGTTCAGAATGCAAAATTTAGCAAGGCTTGCAAGGTCAAGATTTTAATCGCAATCACCAAATGAGGGGACAGTTCATTCATTTTTCACTTTAAAAATAAGTCCTTGGAATTGGCATAGATATTCAAATGGTGTATATTTTTCCAACCCACTGTGGAAATTATTACAAACAGAAAATTTTTATGTCCATTAATCCTGTGGCATCAGTCTGCTCACATTACTCTCAGTCACGGGAATTTCCTTGCCAACTTTAATATCCTCCTGCCCCCTCTTGCCACACATGCTATCTTCTCAATTAATGCAGGGGAATTTTGGTGCTCCTATCAAATTGTTACCTGGCATACTGTACAGTACTGTACTGTTTATTCTTCAAATCCTATCAATTGGAGAAAGGGGAGAATGACATCTCAAGATACCCAGATGCACACTGTGGGCCGTGATTTCATAACTAGGCTGAGACTGTGCACTAGAAATGGAGATAAAGTAGTTGGTCACCTGCGCTGTAGGTTGCGAACAGATCAGAAAACACCAACCTTGGCCTGTTGTGTTTCTTATTGGACTTCATTCTGCACAAATAGGCTGTCCGTGTTTTACTAGGGAGATCAGCACTGTCACTTGCTGACTATGCGATTGTGTCAAGTACTGGTCAACAAGGTAAGCTCAGCTGAGGCAGAGGCAGAGGCAGAGCCAAGCAAAGGCAGACCGGAGAGAGAGGAATGCAGGTATTATACGGTCGGCCATTCAAAAAAGGACAGTCGGATTTCATGCTGCGAAGGGAAGGAGGGGGAGGGGAGTCTCTTAGGGCGATAAGCTAGTTTTTACCAAGGACAAAAGCAAGCCCAGCCAGAGCTGGAGGATCCCACCAAAGCAAGGCCAAGTGCTTGGCAAGGGATTTCTCCCCACCGATCGGGTTTGGGATTGCAGCCCCCGATAGACGCGCGCCAGAAGCGGGGACAGGGCTCCGCTCCCTTCTCCTCTCCTCCACCTCTTTCTTGCTGACCTCGGCTGCCGTGCCCGGCCGGCCTGCTCCTCAGCAGCCGCGCACATGCAAAGTGGGGCTGGGGGTGGTTTTGAGGCCTAGCCTGACGCCTCCCCTCGCTCACTCCGCAGCGGCCGGCGAGCGCATTTCCCCCTTCAGCCGGCTTTCCCCCGCCGCCCCGCTTCCACTGACATTCCCCCTTCCCCGCGCTTACTTGATCCTGCAGTCCATGGTCGCATCTCGGGGTGAAGGGTCCCAGGAGGCGGCAGCACCCCCTGAAGGCAGGCGCCAGTCCGGCCTGGACGGGAAAGGAGGGACGTGAGGGAAAGGACGTGCCGGCTCTTGTCTCGCTTGCTCTTCTTTCCCTACGTCCCAAGGGGAGCAGGTCGGGGTCGCGTGCGGTTTCCCAGGCGTCTTCGCCGAGGGTGGCCCGAGCTTTGCTCTTTCGCCTCCCCGGCCCGGCGTGACGGGCGGCCGTAAAAGCAGCACCTCCCTCCCAGCCTCTCTTCTACCTCTCTCAGTTCCTGCCGCAGAGAAGCGGCTTCTTCGGCACCTTGTGAAAAGCAGGAAGCTCTACAGGGGCTGGAGGAACCTCTTCCCTGGGCCTTGGCCAGGGCTGCTGCGACGGACGGACGCTTAGCCCAAGGGCGGGAAGGAAAAGCAGCTGCCTCGCCATAGGGTTCCTCCAGCGAGGAACTACGATTGCCAATTTATTCCATCAAGGAGGCAAAGGAAGATTCGGGTCCGGGGCCTGTGGACTTTTAGCAACTTAACTCCAGAAAAGAAAAAAGGGGGGGTGGGGAGACACCAAGGGGACAAACTTTTAACATTGAACTGAAACTGAAGACGCTCGTCCGCAGACGACGCAACCCGCAAAGAAAGTTGGCAATCCTAGAGCTGAATTGAAATCCCCGTTTCAGTAGTGATCTGCTTGGTACTATGTACTCAGCCGATCTCTCTTGCTGTCAGTTCAGAAGTCTTACATGTAAGGTGCACGTAGCGACCATATTTTCTTAGGAGCAGGGGAAATAAAAGACAAACCTGAAAAGGAGACAAATCTGAAAGAGGTTGATGAGCATGAAAGAAATAATCATAGTTGATGTTGATAAATTTGCTTTACGAAGAAAAATTCAAGAGCAGAACTAGAAAAAATAAATTTGAAGGTCAGGTTTCTGAAATGAAGGATTGACCTTTTATAATACAAGATTTGTAGCTTGCTACAGTGTAAGGAGATGTCACCTTTCTGATTTCATATGGAACTTTTTGAAAGCACTAGCCTGATGTTTCAAAGATTTAAGTGTTGATAAAGTAAATAGATAGATAGCAACAGAAATTTCATGCTCTCGCTCTCTAAAAGACCTGCAAATTAGGAAGGCTGTTGTCTCTTTGGCCATGAGTTGGCATTATTTTCCTACATGCAATACTTTTCAATAACAGATGAAAATATCAGTGGGTATAAGTTTGCTAAAAGAGTAAAACTGGAGGAAATTATACTGCATTTTTATGTGTTCATCTTATGTTCCATCAAATCTTGGCCGACTCCTGTGGTCCTATAGAAAAAAAAGCTGCCCAAGCTGTTCTGTCTCTCCCTGCATTATGCAGGTGTGTTCCTGTTGTTTCCAGTACTGTTGTTTCCACTTCATGAGCTATTGGCTATTTCAGAAATCACTTCTCAAAGCGATCAAATATTGGAATATGCCCATTGCTTTATATATATATATATATATATATATATATATATATATATTGCAATTTCCATCAATATTAACTGTGCAAGCTGGTGTTCATCCTGCAGCTTGAATGTTCAGTTGCCACTACTTTTCAGGGCACTAATTTTAACTAATTGAACTAATTTTCCATTGTACCTGAAAAATAATATTTGGGCTATAATTAGACTGTAATTGTGTAATTGTCCTTTGATTTGAAAATTCCTTTACACGTATGTTTCTAAGGACTGGATTAAAGGCAGTCCTTGACTTATGACCAGTTACTTAGTGACCATTCAAAATTAAAACACACCCTCCCCAAAAGCTATTTGTGTCCTAGTTTCAAAGTTAGGACCACTTCAGCACCCCAGCTTCATTCACCCTTACAACTGTGATTAAAACAGTCCCTTTTAAAGGATCATGAGAATAACACCTGCTTTCAGATTAGCATGAGGCTGCCTCTGTAGGAAAGCTGACTTATATCACATCAGCTGGCCACCTTTCTCAGAAGCTGCAAAAAGCAAAAAGGTAAGTTGGGTGCTACTGGGCTCAAGCTGGCTGAGGAGAGGCCTCCTCCCGCAAGTCCTTGAGTAGCCAAGTGGGAAGCAGGCCCAAGACCAGTGAGGATTCCAAGAGGTGGAAAGCAGAGCCTGAGGTACCTCACTGAGTGGGGAAGGCTGGGAGACCCGAGACAGGTAAGTCTGGCCTATACGAAGCCTATGAGCAATGAATAGACCATTTTCTACATAGAAATGTATTTATTATCCTGGATCATTCTAACTCAAACTTTCAGCAGTTTTCCGTAGAAGTTCCTCTCCAACTTTTGCATTTTAAGTTGTCAGCAGTGATTAGAACAACTTTTTTCAGTGTTTAATCCATTTTTGTTATTATTTTCTTCTCTATTTTTTTAATCATTGTAAGAAATCCACAAACAAAGCAATTTCGGAGGTAGTAGCTTCTACTGAATGTTCAACTCTTCCTATAACAAAAGCACAAATGTTTTATGAAATAAGGGTACTGTATAAAAGGAAGTAGAAGAAGCAATGGGAAAACATAGGAAATTTACAAGTAGAAAGCCTAGTGAAGTATAGTTGCAGATAATATCCCCTTTGTTGAGAGGCAGTAGCACAATAAATGCCCAGTCTATAATTTATCTATAATTATTCTTAGATGAATTAAGCAAACAATGCATGCAGGCATAGTCTTATAAATATTTTGGAAGTTTGAATATAACACTCAAGGATCATTTTGCTAATTAGGTCTTGGCATTTTCACCATTTCCTCTATGAACTTCTTGTTTCAATTCAAATAAACTTCTCTATTTTCAACAAAATATGCTTTCTGGGGGAAGGATATTTTAATGACATGAGAAGATAATGTTGATCTTGGGGAAATATTCTCATTTTTCATTGAAACATTGGAATAAGGATATGAAACTGCTTGAATACAGTCAATTGAACATATATCAGTAGTAATATCACATTTTATTCCCAGCTAAAAAAATCCTGTTTTTAAAAGGAACTAAAGAATTTAAATGGAACTGGAATGAATTCAAGTTATGCTAAATTGCATGAATGTTACAAAATCAGAGAAATACCCATTTTTTCTCTCTTAATCAACTATGGATCATGCACATAATTACATCAGATTAACTATAGGTTTCAAAAACATTTTACATACTTTTTTATTTTATAACATAAAAAATTCCAATTTCAATTGAACTGTGTTGCCTGGGTACAAATCATTGTAGGAAATAAAATATTTACACCACTATTCATTACATTAGTATCAGTTATAATAGCAATAATAACACTAATTAATCAACTATGAATCATGCAGATCATCTGATTAACTAGGTTTTGAAAACTATTTTGAAGTGAAAGAATGATACTGCTAAACCCATGCACACACATACACACAGTTGGACACAGTCACAGAATGCCTATGAAATATGTTGATGTATATTCTCAGATCCTTATTAACATCTATAATATATCTCTATAATCTATAAATACCTAATTATGTGAAAGGAATATTACAAAAGCTATTTCTGACACAAGTGAGCAAAGAAATGCATAGATCCTGAAGTATGAGCTGTCTGTACTTTCTCTTCTCAACTTGCCTTTGGTAAAATCCAAGTTCTAAGCAGGGTAGATAGTGCATATTAGGTACATATTAGTCCCAGCAGAAATGCACGTTGGTTAATAGCAATAGCACTTAGACCTATATACTACTACACAGTGCTTTACAGGACGCTCTAAGGCTAAGCGGTTTACAGAGTCAACATATTGCCCCCAACAGTCTGGGTCTAGATTTTACAATAATCTGTGCTTTCCTGTTTATAGCTGTGTTTAAGGTAGTTCCAAAGTTTGAAGTGTGGTGTTGATATTTCATTAGTCTACCATGTCAACTACAGATTGTCCTTAGAGTACAACTATTCATTCAACAATTATTCAAAGTTACTATGTTTCTGAATGTATGTTACTCGTGACTCTGAATTCACGTTCCGAATATCACAGGGTTCCCACATTCAAATGGTGGCAATCTGGACACACAGCACTAGACGTGATTACAATAACACAGCAAGCTATGGTCATGTTATCATCATTTGTGACCTTCCTTCTGGTTTCCCAGAAGTAAAGTCAAATCAGGAAGACAGCACAGAAGGTCACAAATCACAGTCATATTGTTTCTTGCTTAATGATCAAATCACTTAATGAAGAATTTTTCATTTTCAATTTTAGTCATAAATTGAGGACCACCTATATATTGATATGACTGTAAAGTGGGTAGAAGTTGGCAATGCTTACATATAAATGTGTCAATGAAAGGAAAGATTTAAATTTAATCTAATTTGAATTCAGTCATAATCAGATAAAAAATTATTTGGTAATTGCAAATTGCCTGCCTCACCCCAGCCTCTGAAGTGGCCCAGCTCCCTTCCAGATGAGCCTTCCTTCACCATTTTTCATTGCATCCCAGCTCCCTGCCTGCCTGGTAAGCTGCCTTTCACCTTTTTGCCACCGTGAACGATCTGCTGCCACTGCCTCTTTGCCTGTGCGAACAGCCTGCCGCCACAGCCTCTTTGCCAGCATGAACAGCCTGCCGCTGGCACTTTGCCAACTCAAATGGCCTGTCACGGCCGCCTCTGACAGCATGAACAGCCTGCAGCCACCACCTCTTTACCAGCGCGAACAGCCTGCTGCTGCTGCACCTTTGCTGGCACAAGCAGCCTCAGCTGCCGCCTCTTTGTCAGCGCAAATGGCCTGCTGCTGCCACTGCTTTGCTGGCGCATATGGTCTGCCACTGCCACCTCTTTATCAGCACAAACGGCTAGCAGCCTCCCCCTCTTTGCCAGCGACAACAGTCTGCCTCCACCACTTCTTTGCTGCTGCAAACTACCTGCCACCGGCGCCTCTTTGCCGGTACGAATGGCCTGCCACCTGCACCACCTCTTTGCGGGCCCAAACCACTGCTTCCACTTCTTTGCTGACCCAAACCACTACCATCTCTTTGCCAGTCTATACTGCTGCACCACCATCTCTTTGCTGGCATGAACAGCCTGCTGCTGCCACCTCACTGCCAGCCCAAACCGTCACAGGCAGTTTGGGCTGGCAAAGCAGCAGTGGCAGTTTGGGCCATCAAAGAGGTGACAGCAGAGGTTTGGGCCCACAAAGATTGGCAGGGGTGGCAGGCCGTTCATGCTGGCAAAAAGGTGATAGCAGCAGGTGGTTTGTGGCAGCAGAGGCAGCAGCAGTCTGTTGGCGCTGGCAAAGAGGTGGAGGTTGCAGGCCATTCGTGCCAGAAAAGAGGTGGCAGCGGCAGGCCATATGCACCAACAAAGCAGTGTCAGTGGCAGGCCATTTGCACCTACACAGAGGTGGTAGCTGCAGGCCATTCATGCCAGCAAAGAGGCGGCAGCAGGCCATTTGAGCCAGCAAAGATAGCGGCAGGCTGTTCATTCCGGCAAAGAGGTAGCATCAGGCCATTCATGCCAGCAAAG